CATTATTTCTAAATAAAATATTCATCTTTTCTTTTAGCTTTATATATTCCTCCATAATCATTGTGAGCAATGTATTTACAATATTAAATTTCTTTTTTGTAATAATCAATTCTTTCTCAGTATCTTTTAATTGAATTTCTATCACTGAACTTAATGTTTCACTTTTATTTAAGGATGTTTCACAGATTTGTTCATCATCTAAATTATAACTTTTATTATATAAATTCGTATTAGATATCTCTTTTAAATAATTATACAATTCTTCGTATCGAACTTTCAATTCTAATAATTCGGTTTCTTTTTTCTCTAATTGACCTAATGTTGATTCTAGTGTTTGCTGATTATTTAAGTTCTTTTCTTCCAGCATGTAGTAATTTGTTTTGTACATTTTTATTTCATTAGTCAAGCAATTTTTTTCATCTTGAAGTTGTGAATTATCATTTTGTAATTTAGCTATATAATTTTCTAAACTTTGAACTTCTTTTTCATAAGTTGATTGTATTAATTTTACATCTTGTATTTGACAGGAACAATTAATATTTTTAGCATTTGAATTATTTTCATTTTTTGATTTCATTTCTGACATGTTTCTTTGCAATTTATTTTGTAATTCTTTTATTTGATTTTGTTGAATTTTAAGATCTTCAATAAGTTCAGATTTTTCATATTGTAATGTTTCAATATTAGCTCTTAAATTTCTTAATTGTCTAGTTTGTTCATGCATTTTGTTATCAGTATGTACTGACCTAATCACTGGAGAATTTAAAAATTCTTCTAACACATATTTTGGTTTTTTACACGTTTTAAAATTAGTTTTATCAGAAATAGACAATATTTTACAAAGATCTTCTATAGTTACATCTTTTCCAAGTGTATATACAGATTCTAAAATTGATTTAACTTTAACTTGTGTATCAAAAGGAAGATTAATACATAATGATTTATGAAATACTGGTTCTAGAGATAATCGAGACAAAACTAATATTGCAAAATATAAAGTTTCGATAACATTTTTGCAATAATTAAATTTAATATTTGGATATTCATTTTCTATAAAGTGCTGAACCACTTCTTTAGGATTGGGATTATGTTTTTGACTCAAAGATTTTATTTTATTAATCAAATTATAATATAGTCTATCATCTTCTAATTCTTCAATATTTTTGATAGAATTATTTGTATCATCATGTAAACAATTAATCCATTGTAATATAAGATTTTTCCAAGACTCCATATTATTTATCCTATAAATAATTTATATTTTTAAAATTTTATGTTCTAGAAAAATCAAATTTATAATTTACTTTTAAAAATATAAATTCCATACATTATATACTTTTTTTGCATTATTCGTTATTAAATTTTATATATATATTGTAAAATCAATTATAATATTAATATTATAGTTACAAGAATTGAACGAGTGAAATAAATTTAAAATTATTTTAAAATACAATAGAAAATAATATAAATAATACTAATAATAAAATTAAAAGTTTTTAGGAACTATTTACTAAACTATAGATTGCCATCTAGTGGACACTGCAGGAATCGACAGGTAAATTCTATTGGTTTGGTAACTTGCAACGGTAAAATTCAAAAATGCATTTTGGGAAAACAAAAAAAACAATATTTAGTAGATATACAATTATAAGTGTTAAAATATTGTCAGTTCTAAAATTAGCCATATTTTAAATTATGAAACCGTATTATTAATTTAATACAAAAAATAATGCAATTTAACTTAAATCAGTCAACACATAAATATTACCATAATATATACATACAACTAAATTTTATTAAGTTGTTAAATTTGTTAAGTTAATTATTAATAGGTTAAATTAATAATAAATTTGTTAAATTAATTATTAAAAGACTGTTTCGTTAAATTTAAAGAATGACAATAAAATAAAATAGTACAACTTACGTTATCTAAGGTTAAATTACCACTTCTAATATAAAATTTGCGAATGTCATTAAGAGTTTATTATTAATAAATTTAAAATAAATCTGAAGATTTTATTTTACATTTTCTCAAAGATTTAATAATTAAAAAGTAAACAAAAATTTTATGTTTAGCCGAATAAAACCACTAACGCTATTACATATATAACGTCCTTTAATGAAAAGAAAAATATATGAAGAAATGAAACAAGTATTAGATAAAAGGCACCAGTAATAAATATAAAGCATCCGGTAGATGGCGATATTACGAATGCTACAATTTTTTAAATTGGTTTTAAACACTAAGTAGTGATTTTATAGACTCAATTGTCTAATTGGATAATAAGAACAAAAAAATGTAACTATTTCATTACATTTTTTACTATGTCCTATTAAAATTTTTTTTGTTGGATGATACATTTATTTATTTATTAAAGTCAAACAACGTATAAGGAAATATGATTTGTAAGCTAATAACACTTCTTCATAATTCTTAAGTGTATACATGCATATTGATGGTAAATAAATATTTTTTAAATATATTGTATTAACTATTCAGAACGATTCAGTTTCGAGGAAGTTTAGAGTGAAATTAGTTTAAAGTAAAGAGCATACCTTTATTCCGTATACATAATGGGTAACGTACATAATACATAATGTAAGTTATTACAATTAATTTTAAATAATTCCAATAAAAACGTAAATAATTTATTTGGTACATTTTGGGATAATTATAGAATTTTTATTAAAATTGGTATTTATAAAATCGAACAAGAGGACTTTATTATTGTATAACCATTATCCAAATAATATATTATCATATATTAAATATTAGGGTTTCAGCTACTGTAATAATTTAAACTCATCAAAGAAAAGCTGTCGATGTTTATTACAACTACAAGTTTCTATTTATAGTTTTCTGTTGTGGAATTTATAAATTATATTTTACGAGTGAATGAATATGCCTATAAGTATAATAACTAGTATAATCAATAAATGTGCGGTTTTTCCTATTTTATCTTTTTAAAAAAATCAGAACAATTTTTTTTCTTGATTAATTATATACTAAATATAATGTAATACAATTTTTATTACAAATTATAAATTAATTTTTAAATTAAATTAACGAATTTAGCTTAATTAAAAAAAAAATCAGTTTTGAAATATTATATAATACCAATTAATTTCTTTTTACGATCAATTTTTTTATCACCCAAAAAAAAAATTCAACAAGAGTTAATTTTGATTTTTATCCATTTCAAAGCAAAATTAAAAATTTTTAAAATGCATGCCACGATTTTTAGCCTGTTATATTTATAGTGTTATGATTTTATACAATCGATTATATTCATAATAAACACATAAATATATATTTATATTTAAAATAAAGTAAACTTATAATTTACTTAATAATAAAAAGTAAAAATATGAATGGATATTATATAAAAATAATAAATATATAAGCAAATGTATAATAACTATAAATATATTGTTATTTATTGTTAATTGAAGTATATATAAAGAAATTAACACAAAATATTTTAATGTAATTTTAACTAAGATATATATTGAAAAAAAGTGCAAACAAATATTATTTTTATATATTTATTATTATTATGTATTAATTTTTATAATTTCTAATCTATGTTAAAATACAAAACTGAAAACAAAAATTTTATTCGTCTATTTGTCTATTATTCCAAATATAATTATATGGTATATAATTGCTTAAGCCCCCGGTACGATACACCAGGAAAATTGTGTGTATTGACATAGCCGCCAATAGATTTAGATCCTCATTACGCATGCTTCAAATCAATGTACTTACGCTATAACATGGAGTAGTTTTAATATAACACATTAAATATCAATTTTGTCTGATAATACATTATATTTACCTCAATTGAATTTCAGTTATTTTATATTGATAAGTTATCTGTTTAAATATTATATAAACAATAATTTAGAAAAGATCGTTTTTATAGTAACTAAAATATTGTTAACTTTTTTATTGTTAGCTGAAATTAGTTTTAATAATTTTCGTAATGCTAAATTCAAATTTAACAAATAAATTATTTAATGTCTTTATTGTTTAGAAGAATTACAAATTAAATTTTAATTTAATTTTATTTAATATGATTTACATGTGCATCATTCCCAAAAGGTAAGCTAATTCTAGAATTAAATAATGAAAAACAATTATACTATAATAGAGTTATAAAATTTTTATATTCAATAAGATGTTAATAGAGAATTTTATTATACAGTGTAGAAATTCAATTGTCTACAAATTGTAAATAAAATGAAAAATGTATAAAAGATTTCAATTGGATTGATCGGATTTTATTTTTTATTAATTCAGATTAATTGTTACGAATATTACAATATCCTTTAAATTTATTAAGATAATTCTAGAGCAGTTAATTAATTTTATCAATACCTTGAAGTTTTTTCATTTGTAGGTTATTCGATCATAGATAAAATAATCTATATTACACAAATCTTACATGAAATTGTAACCAAATAAATAAATGTAAAAAGTTTATTTAATTTTACAAATAGAATTATTAAAAATATATTATTAAATTATAGTTTTACAGAATTTGATTTATAAATATAATTATTATTTTTAATATGGTTTAAATTGTAGATATATAATTTAGTTTTTAAACTTTAATTTTATATGGGATAATTAATATTTAGCACCAAATTCCATGGATTAATTATTGAGTATATGACTAAGAAATATTACACTATTGTGGTAAAATATTTTACATTCTAAGAGGTTTACATTCTAAGATATTTTATTAAAATGTAACCAATTATTTTAATATGAAAAATTTAAATTCAAACATTAAAAACAAAAATGTTATTGCAAATTTGTAAATTAAATGTAGTGCTTTTATAATATTGATATAATTTTATGGACATAAAATTTGCTTTTAATTAAATATAAATACTTTCAGTTTTTGTAATTATATAATAATAATAATAATAATTCTATAATTATATAATAACACATAAAATAAAATTTTATTTACAGATATTTTCAATTATAGAAATAAATATATAATAAATTATAAAAACTATGGCTCCAGTACCATTGGAAGGACATCAAACTCCTGTGACTAATATGCCACAGGAAGGCAATCGTGGTGGCTCTATCTCTCTCGGATTACTAATCGATTTTATCATTCAAAGAACATATCATGAACTTACAGTATTAGCTGAATTATTACCTAGAAAAACGGATATGGAGCGTAAAATTGAAATATATAATTTCTCTGCAAGGACACGTCAATTATTTGTACGATTATTGGCATTAGTTAAATGGGCTAGTAGTGCTACAAAAGTTGAAAAATCTGCTCATATTATGGCATTTCTTGATAAACAGTCATTATTATTTGTTGACACGGCTGATATTTTAGCAAGAATGGCTCGTGAAACTTTAGTTCATGCTAGATTACCAAACTTTCATTTGCCAGCTGCTGTTGAAGTATTAACAACTGGATCATATAATCGTCTTCCAGCATGTATTCGAGAAAAAATTGTTCCGCCAGATCCAATTACAATAACAGAAAAACGCAGTACTTTACAAAGATTAAATCAAGTCATCCAGCATAGACTTGTAATTGGAAATCTTTTACCTCAAATGAAAAATTTAGAAATTGATGCTGGACGAGTAACATTTCACATAGAACAAGAATTTTCTGTTTCATTAACTGTAATGGGCGATGGACCTAATTTACCATGGAGATTATTAGATCTTGAAATTTTAGTATCTGATCGAGAAACAGGTGATGGAAAATCATTAGTACACCCATTACAAACACATTATGTACATCAAGTTATACAGGCACGTCTTTCAGAGAGCACTGATCCTTTGTCTGAAGTATATCATATTTTACATTATTTTTGTCAATCGTTACAATTGGAAGTATTATATTCACAAACCTTAAGATTGATAAGAGATAGATTAGATGATCATATTCGTATAGATAAATATATTTCTGGGGAGTGTTTAACTATTTCTTATTGGAAGGAATTAACAAATAAAGATTCTGGATCAGAACTTGGATATAAACTTAGTATTTTAGTAGATCAGCATGATCCCGCAAAACCATTAGCAATTGTTCACACACCATCATTGACAAATAAAGAATGTGAATTTTCAGATTTAGCAATAAGATCAAATCAGTTGTCAATGGAATATTTATTAGTTCACACTATCTATATAAGAACAAGAAATCGTTTGGCTGATTTAAAACAAGAATTACAAAATATGTTTAAAGGTGCAGAATGTATATTAGCAGGTTCACCGGCAATTTTATCAGTTCCAATTTTACAACCATGCCTTAGAGCTGAATTGCTTTTGATTGCAGTTGATACTCATACTGGTATGTTACAGTGTCATATACCACAATATGATGCTCCACTTGTTCCAGAATTAACAGCTGCATTAAATGATGATCATTTGAAACTTGCAGTATTAATATCAGAATTAAGATTTTGGATCACACAAAAACGTTGTGAGAAAACATTGCAACATTTACCTGCTACATCCCATGAAAAATTACCACTAGTATACCAAGCAGATCATCCAATAACATCTATTAGTAAGCATAGAATATTTGTGCAGTTTCATAGACATCCAACTGTAATTCTAATTGTATCATTCAAAGAAAATAAATTATCACCATGTGATATTCAATTTTCCTTTTATTTATGTGCAGTTAAGCCGTGTTCAATTGAACATGATGCAAATGATGACAATATTGAAACTAAAACTCATAATGTATATTTAAAATTAGAAAGTCTTATTGAATTTGATACATTTGTTATAACTCATGGATCATTTACAAGTATTGATTGTGAAAATAATGAATTAGAATCTACTACTTCAACAGAATTAATAGATAAAAATGGTAAAAAACGTAGAAATGTTGGTCTTAGTATAAGAACTGACATAAATAGTTCAATGCAAAGTAAAAGACCAAAATCTCCAGCATATTTCATTCCAGAATTAGCGCATGTAGTTGCACTTTGCGATGAACAAATACCGTTTGTTATGCTTGCTCAAGAATTAACAAAACGAGAAATCGCTCATCAAGGTTTACAAATAGAAGCAAATGCTACTGCATTAGTATTAAAACTTGTTCAACTTCCGGCTCCTTCCATAAATATGTTAACAAATAATGCATGGAATGCTCTTCTTAAAAGATTATTAAGTGTAGCGATTCGAGTGCAAGGTAAAGGAACAGGAAAAGTTTGGTTAGTAGAGTTTTTATTTTATGGTAGTCCTCTGATAAGCAGTCATCCAAAAGAGCAGGGTTTAAGAAGGCCTATTTATTTTCAATATGAAATGGGGACGATAGATACAATATCTCAAATGGTGGATTTACTTCTTAACGATTGGGTGCAAATTGTCAATCTTTATTTACTGATCCATGATCTTTCAGAATATTTCAAAATGGAAAAATCAAATTTTCGTAATATTGCAAGTATTAAATCTTACAATTATAGTAAATTAATAATGTCTTATGGACCTTATAGAAGAGCAACAATAACAGCACAATGGGATGCAAAAATTAAGGGGTTTAAACTTTATTTTGGTAAAAGTCCAACGAGTACAATTGATAATGCACACTCTCTACTGAAAGAGCAACTGGAGGCACATCTAAATCGAGATAAAAATCTAATGCAAATCATTCATATTTTAAACGAAACTCTTCAGCCTCTCACGTCAATAAGTAAATTACCTATAATACCCCAACTTGGCTTGTACGAAAAGCGAATGCAAATACCCGTACAAACGTTTGTTATAATGCCTCAGTGTATAACATTAGTGAGGATCGCCTATCAAAATATGTATTGCTTAGAATTATGTTTTCGAGGTGATGGTCTTGTAAGCCTACGTGACGGTGCTTACAGTCGTTTTGACCATAGTAATGTTGTCGATGGTTTCACACCTATCCAAGGTTTAAGTACGTTTTTGTCCCAATATGTCGATAAAAATGCTGTATATCGTCGCCGCTCTCAATCTGAAGACGACAATCCACCATCACCCGTTACTATAGATAGCGAAGGTAATGGAGCTGGAAGTATTGGTTTTCTGGCACATCATAGGAGTGGACCTCAGTCACCGGCACAGCAACGCGAAGCTCTCCGATTTCATCCGCCACTAACTCCTCCATCTGGAAGTAACCCTAATACGCCAGCAAGTCCACATACGGCAGGTATGCCTCCGAGTGGTCAACATCAGGGTTATGGCAATAGTCCGGGTATGTCGCTCAATTTAGCTTCACCACCATCTCTTACACCAAGTACGCCTAATGTTCTGCCTCACCCTTCACCTGGTTCAGGTCTCGTAGCTAGTCCGTTAAATCAGATGCATGCTCCTAGTCCAGCAGGCCTTATGCCTACCTCTTCTCCAGGTCCATGTGGTAGTGTTCAAGTAGGCCATTCTCCGGCCAGTTCTTTCATGCAGGCAAGTCATGGACTAGATGGTAGTCCATTTCCTTCTTCACAGAGTATGGCCTCACCTGCAGCTTCGAACTGGGTTGGTTCACCGAGCATATCACGGCCTTCGCCAGCACGCCCTGGTCAAAGTCCAGGTCACGTACCATTGCATAGTCCTCAACAAACAGCAGCTGAACATCGAACATTAAACCATGTATCGCGTGTTTTACCTCAAAGATCTTGGGCGGGTGCTATTCCTACATTACTCAGTCACGAAACACTCGAGTTATTATGCGGAGGCTCACGGCAATCTGGACAATCGAGTAGTCTTGGCCCCGATACGTCACCACTCGAAAGATTTTTAGGTTGTGTTTACATGCGTCGGCAATTACAACGCTTTATTCAAACAAATGAGAGCTTGGCAATCGTTAACAGCACTGAACCAGGTGTTATTCATTTTAAAGTAGAAAGTTTGCAATGTCGCGTTTCGCTAAATCCTCAGAATATGCAATCATTGCATATTAAGATACAACCATTACCAGAACACAACAAACAATGGAGTCTTGACGATCTGCAAACGCTTGAAAAGTTTTTTGAGAGCCGAGCAGTGGCTGCACCTTATAAGCCTAATACTTTATTAGGTTTTCTTAACATGTTAAATCTGCCTTTCAATGTCCTCAAAGACTTTGTTCAGATAATGAAGCTTGAGTTAATTCCTGGTTTAGTACAACAGCAGCAGATGAAATGGACTGCACAATGGTGTCTTCGAGTGCCACCGTCAGCAATGCCCATCGTTCCTTGTGGTATGCCAGCTGTTATCCAACACAAGATGAAGATTCTGTTTTTTTTACATATTTTACGATTGGGAGTGCAATGTCGGGAAGAAGAAGAGCCACCATCTCTTATTTTACCATTGGTTTACGATGTTAGAACAAATTTGACTCAACTGGCAAATGAAAGAGATTCTGCTCCTGCTTCTGCAATGACTGCCGTTTCAGTACAGCTTAAACGGTTCGCCGAGTATGGAAGTAATTCACAAGAATGTTCCATTTTTCCTGCGGTGAGGAACCTTTTAGTAAACTTAATATTGCCTTCGGAGACATTGGTACCTCAGCAAATGGCATCTTCAATATCTGGGGGACAAGTGACAGCTGGGCAGCAGATACCGAGCGCTGGCATGCAAATGATGCCTGGAGCTCAGGGACCACCACAAGGACCTTACAGAACACAGGGAATGGCCCCATTGAATATGATGGGTGGTCCTCAGTGATATGAAAGGTACGCTTATTTCTTTTCATAAGAAAGTAGATGAAAAATTTGTTATTACAAAATGTTTAAATTAAAAAGTTCTAATAATTTTAATAACTTTAATTTTTTTAATAATGATAGTAAACAGTAATTTAAATTTTTTATTTTATTTTGGTTTTCATTTTTAAATCAAAGCCATTAAATAAATAAATAATTCTTCTAAAAGTTTAAAAATTTTATTATTTTTTTTAGAAATAGATTTTCATTAGAAAATGATTTATAAAATATTTGTCTCTAAGTTGAATTTCATTTCAAAATATTTATCTAAGTTGTAAATGTCACAGAAGATTTTATATTAAATTTTATGCCTAATATTTCCTTATAATTACTGGAGTTTTATCACATATTTATTTTCAAAGATATAAAATTTTAATTATTTTTAATATTATTACATAAGTAGTTTAAATTAAAAGTTTAAATCCTTTTGTTAAAATACCAAGAGTAATTGTATAATTTTATTATTATATATATATATATATATATATATATACATTGAAATAATAAAAGTATAGAATAAATATAAACCTTTACATCTGTTACTTATTCAATGTATATATTTTTATTTAATTATTACAGTTTAGATATTTGTAGTTATTGATAAAATCGATTAAGCATAATAAATTCAGCAGATCATTAAAGAGATGTCATTTGCAGTACCACCAGAAGATTTGTAAAATTTATAAAATGAAAACTAACAGTTAAGTGACATCGATTTGTCAATAACAGTTATATTAATTTATCTAGATAAATTAAAATATTTTTTTAATTCATAATTTATTTCTTAAAAAATTTGTGAGTATATAATTTATTGGATCAATTTAGGAGTTTCAAATTTAAATGTTTTAGTTATAAATTAAAATTTATATATGTGTATGTGTAGCGCGTGTGTATAGGTACAAATGCATACATACATAAATGTGTGTGTATATATTTTTTATTACGTATATATATATATATATATATATATATGATTAATAAATATTTTTTATATTGATACATTTGTGGTAATCTTAATATATAATATAAATATAAATTTATATGATCTGCGTATATGTTAAATAATTTTGCAATTCATTTTAATAGTATTAAGATGACATTTGTATTTATTAATAAATAAATAACAAAAGCTTTCAACAATATATTATTTAATAATTAGGAATAATTATCGTATTACAAATACTTTGTTTATAATGAAACAATACAGTACGTACTATTTTGAAAACCATCAAATTTAATGTATTTGTTGCAAATAATTATCTTAGCAGAAGGTATTCTAGATTTTCATATTTAAGAATTAGAAGGTGAACGGTCTCGATTTAATTTTTGTGTCCGAGATCTTCATCGTTTTTAACGAATAAAATAATTGATCTAAATGATAAATTGGAATAATTTATATTTTATTATCATCCAGAAACGAATATTATTCGAATAATATAATTATTTTCCTTAAATATCTTAACTTAAAGAAGCACAAATATTTTATAGCATTGCTGTCCGAGATCAGACTAAAACGCTTCCCTGAGATGGTGAAGGGAGGCTTGCTGGCAAGTGGAATGGACAATGCAATAATTCAATACTGCCTTTGTATGAGTTGGTATTCCCTTTATTGAATATAATGATATAATAAATAATCAGTGATTTATTAAGGTGAGATTGAATGAATGATACAATGAATGGGTGAGAGTTTCTTCAGGTGATGTGAGTGATGATAATTTTATAAGTGTATTCTTGAGTGTGGCGCGTGACTCTCCTACTTGTGATTAGGACTTGTAGTGGTAGTGGGAGATGCGCTGATAAAGAATGATGATGCCGTGAAGAGAGTCATGGTGTGATAGGTGAGTGTTGACGCTACCGATACGCTGGAGAGGCCTGGGTAGTGGCGTTGGTGTGTGACGTCACTGGTGAGGAGAATTGATGCCGCCGTTGCCGCTACCGATGAGCTGGAGAGGCCTGGGTGTGGCGCTGGTGTGTGACGTCACAGATGAATGGCAATGATGCCGTGGCCTAGGTATTGCTGCTTACTTAGTTCACAGAGCCGTGTGTTAGTGATTTGTAAGAAGGCGTGTTATAGCGCAGCTTACGTATGGAGTCGATCTCAGTGTGGTGGCATGTAAGAATGTGTGTAATAGCGTAGCTTACGTGTGGAGTCGATCTCAGTGTATTGATGGCACGTAAAAACGTGTGTAATCGCGTGACTTATGTGTATTGAGGTCGATCTGTATGGTAGTAGTAAGCTGAATATGTATAGCTTACGTGTTAGTTGGAGACAATCTGTGTATTGGAGGTGATTTGTGTGTAAGTGGTGCTAACTTGTAGGACGGCGATCTGATCTTGATAACTGCTTGATTGAACTAGTAAGAGGACGAGAGAGTGAAGTGCAGCTCCTTAAATATTCTCGTATAAACAAGCTGCGCCGAATAGCGCATCGGTGGCTGTTGCTATGCCGATATTTGTCGTGACGTCAACAGGGCATAGCCTTGTAGGGTTCATTTGTTATTACTTTTCGGAATTATAGTCGTATATTCGAGTTTTTCGGTTAGAAGCATTCTTCGAGTCCGTTAGCTATTTATTTACAAAACAGCGTGCTCATACTTCTCTCACTTTTATTACGCTTAAAAATTCTGCAATCCGTAACAGTGCGTTTTTTAATGATTTGTAATGATTAATAGACTGAGGCAAACTGAGCTGCTGCGTGAAGCACAGCCCTTCAATATTATCGCACTATTTCTCAAACGCTGATGTTTGTTTAATGATGTTGTTTTGCCAAATGTTTTAGTGCATTGGAAAAGGTTCTCGCAATCTCGAACAATATTATATTAATTATTATAAATTCCATCGATAAGCGGTGCGCCCTAATTGGAAAACTAAGACCAGAAGCTCCTTGAGTGGGAACTCGTGGCAAGAGGCCATAAAGGTGAGGACAATACAGCAAAGGGGGCTGTCCGCGGGGAGAACTCGAACAAGCTGCTCGCATGGGCAAGTCAAAAGCTGTCTCTGTGGAAGTCAATTCGAAAGGGCTATCCGCGTAGAGAAGCCAGGTATGTGGGGAACTTTACGCATTAGTACGTAGTGGTAAACTAGTGAAGAAGAATTTGCGGTGACCCACTGA